GACCTAGTAAAACGGTACACTTAATTTTTATTAGTCTTAAAATGCATAACTCTGTATTATAAGTCTTTTAGTCCTCATCCTCTTAATTTTATTGTGTTCAAGTACATTTTTTGACTTTTTTTTTCTTTGAGATATTTGCCTTCCCTTGAATCATGCATATTAGATTTTTTTTTTTTTGTTATTGAATTTATTTTATTATATTAAATATTTTTTTANATTTTATTGTGTTCAAGTACATTTTTTGACTTTTTTTTTCTTTGAGATATTTGCCTTTCCTTGAATCATGCATATTAGATTTTTTTTTTTGTTATTGAATTTATTTTATTATATTAAATATTTTTTTGTTTAATGGATGAATTATATCCTTAGTATTTTTGCCATCAAACATATTTTCTTTCTTCTTCTCCAACAATCAAGGGCGGAGGGACATGAGGACCCCTGGGGGGGCACATGCCCAACCTGAAAAAAAAATTAAAAATTTCACCTCTGAATATTTATAATTTTTTATTAGTTAGTTAGAATTAGGCCCACTCTCGTGACAAAAAACCAAAAAAAATTAACCACTCTAAAAAGTTTGAACTAACTAAATTTTGTGCAAAAAAATAATTGGATACACTTTTCACTCAAAAGAAAGGTGAAAATATGTTAAAAAGTTACGATTAGTGATTGAGCCTATTTTTTTGATAACTCTCATTCTTATACTATTCATAATTATTTGAAATTGCTATAAATTTTTAAAATTGATGCGACTTAGCCTAAAATTGATTACTATTAACTTAATTACTTATATAGAGAGACATTTTTGATAACATTATTAATAACGTTATCATATAATAATGTTATCATACAATCCTTTCAAAATATGAAAAGTTGTCAAGATTCACAGTATATGATTGTAATTAGCCTTTTTTTATTGAGTATTATTTGCATAGACAACGTATATTGACATTTGATCATTTTATATTTAATGAATCTTTAAATATGCAACACGATTTAAAAGAAGAAGAAGACATGTACCACAATACTTTTATTAATTGGACAAAAAAATTAAATTTTGTTGGTTCAGTGTACCTACCCCTAGAACAAATTTATGGCTCCCTACCAATCGTCAACCATTATCGTTCATCTTCTTCTCCAACTAGTTAATATTAAGTGATTGTCCTTATTCTGCTCCAACCAATTTTTATTTTTCTTCTTCTTCCTGAACATTTAACCATTATCAGGTTCAAAATTATACTTTTATTCGTTTTTTGTTCTTTTGCTTTGTTATATTTTTTTTTGGTTCAACTGATTGTTTGAGTGATAACGTTTTTGTTTTTCTTTTTTTTTTTCTATCAAACTGCTTTTAGAACAAATTAATTTTTTTTTTTCAAAAAATATATCATTTTTTTCTGTGTTCTCAATATTGTATTATTACACTATAATTTTCATTCATATCGTTATAACCTCATATAATTTCTATAATATGATATGTAATTTCTATTTTTAATTTCTTCGTCTTTTTATGTTTGTGGCTCTATATTTCGATACATGTAATTGTTTGTATGTCCATTTTTTTTTGTTTCAGTTTTATGACTATAATGCTATTTTTTTTTTATTTTGTTAATAGTGATTGTATCAACAAAAGAACCAATTCTACCACATTGTGTTGTTACACTATTAAATCAAAGGAATGCACGCATTTGTTATTGTAGGGGCCGAGCTATGAAACAATGATGTCATTTAAAACAAAAGAAAGTGTGTATAATTGTCGTGTTCAAGTCGCTCAACCAATGGTGTCCTATTCCGTTGTCACATTATTAAACCAAATGAACATGTATGTAATCGTAATGTCTAAGCCACTGCACCAATAATCTCTTTACATCTGAAAAATTTTACCAAAATTCTCTGACACACTATAAATTCATATGCGAAAATAAAGAAAATTTTTTGTGACAATAAAAGATTACTCAAACAAAACAATACTCTGTAAAAATAACGTGTATCAACTAAGTTTTCATTGAAAGTGTGACTATAAAAGTGACTTCATATATAGTGAATAGGTAGTATAACTCTAAAGTAAAAAAAAAATTATGATAAATTACACTTACACCCCCTAACATTTGATTTTATTATACAGACATTCACATTTCAACAATTACACTGAGACCCCAATGGGTAGAGGGAGTTAACTATTTTAAACCCCAAGCCCTATCCCTAACCCTTCTCCTCATAACTCTTCTCTCTTTCTTTCTCCCTCAGCCCATCTCTGTTTGTGCGTGTATATATATACATATACACAGACTCAGTCTTCTCTCTCTCTCTCTATCCCTCAGCCCATCAGACTCAGTCTTCTCTTTCTCTATCCCTCAACCCATCTCTATGTGTGTGTGTATATATATATACAATACATACACATATATATACATACATACATACAGACAGAGAGAGGGAACCCGACAACAAGCCATTTCTCCGTCGCCTATAATCACTGACCATCAACACCACAACAAAGCTATCACCCCCAAAACCCAAAAAACTCAAAACCCGATTTGAGATCGATATTACAGATCTGAGTTCTTCATGGTCAAAATGGAGCAAAGAAAGTTTTCAAATTTTTGAGATCGATTTTCAAATCTGAGTTTGGTGGGTTTGTGTGGTGAATTGTGGCAGTAGACTCATGGTGTTTGGTGGATTTGTGTGGTGGATTGTGGCAATGGACTCGCGGTGCTTGGTGGATTTTACTGGAAGGTGGGTTGTGGCAATGGAGGTTGATGGTTTGATGGATTTGTGTTGTGGATTTGGGGGCAAATTGGGTAGGTTTGTGTGGTGGGTTTCACAGGTGATGGAGGCAATGAAACCCATCACCACCATCACACCCACTGTCCCACCACCACCATCACACTCATTGTCCTACCACCACTATTACCACTTTTGCGATCGCCATTGCTGCCCCTACCACCATCACTACTGCTGTCGCTATCCAACCACACCACCACCACCGTTGTCGCTACCCTACCACCACCATCTCCATTACCACCACCTCCACCACCATGACCACTATTACTGTCGCTACCTTACTACCACCATCACCTCTACTATCACTATCGCCATTCATCACCACCATCATACTGTTGCCCACCACCACCATCGCCACCGCCCACCACTACTTCCCACCATCACCATCGCTCCCATCATCGCCCCATCATCACCACTACCAACCACAATCACTGTTGCCCACCACCACTACCGTCATCACCCATGATTGTCACTATCACCACCATCACCGTTGTCACCACGGCTGACACCACCACCACAGTCGTCGCCACCCACAATAACCATCACCGTCTCCCACCGTCACCATTATCACCGCTCACCCATATTACAACTGGTGTTTAAATTTTTTTCTCTCTCTTTTATATTTGTGATTTAATTTTGAATGTAAATTCAAATATATTTATGATTAAATTTTTTTTTTATTATCCCGTGCCGTCAGGTATGGACAATAACGTTTATTTTAATATGTGATAAATAAACAAATCACATATTTTCTTCCATACTGTTAATCAAATGCCATTGGCCAATCTTCCTCATTTGTACCTAAAGGGCATATTTGCTCACTAATATTCAATTCTAATAAAGTTTTGTTAGGGGGTAAAAATCACGCGTTCGAATTTTATGCCAAAGCGACCATCCAGTAGCCTTTGACCTTCATCCCACATCGGATAAGAGTCGTTTCCCCCCTGCCATATAAGCCTTTGGCCTCAATAGAGGAGGTACCCGTTAGCCACTTGATCAGGTGCTAGTGGGTATCTCCTTCATTGAGGCCAAGGGCTTATATGGCAGGGGAGAAGATGATTTTCAGTCGATGTGGGACGAAACTTCGCACGGGCACTGAGAGGTAAAGGCTACCGGAGGGTCGCCCAAGGGGTTAACTCAGGTCAACCAGAATCCTTGAGTTATGCAAAAATTTGTACCAACAAGTTTCTTTTTAGTTTGTGGATGAATAAACAAAACTACAAGTTGATATTTATCAAAAAATGTCTCCTTTTTTATGATTGGGCGGCGATGGTAATGGGTTCAAACTTTAGCGTCTGTTTTTTAGAAGTTCCCATGTTCCCACTAAACCCAATGCATCCGTTGGAAGAATACTCTGGAAACTACTAATTATAATCACTGTTGCTCTTGGATTAACAATGGATCCTCTTACAAAATTAGATCTACTATAAATTTCTTAAAAATATCACAATTAAACCACCAAATTTCATTAAGACAAATTTGATTAAGAGATTGTTAATCTCAATGTTATAAGGATAAAAAAAATCTTTTTAATGAAATAGTTAACGTCTGTCATACAAAAGGGGTGCAGTTGTCACAACTGTTCAAATGTCAAGTGGTTTCAGTGTAATTGTAGAAATGTGAAGAGGTGTATGTGTAATAAAATCAAATGTTAAGGGATGTAAGTGTGATTTATCAAAAAATTACTTCATCTGCTCTTAAATATCTGTCGTTTAAGGTTTTTGCACAGGGATTAAGGAAGCTATTAAATAGCTCTAATATGAGTAAAAAATAGTTACACAAGATTAAAATACTCTTATTCAATACGTATTGGGAAGAAAAAGAATATGAAAGACACTTAACCTCAATTTAATCTAATGCATTGAAAAGTTAAGGGTAAATTTAGAAGAAAAAATATTAATTACGATTTAGTTTTATTAAACGACAGATACTGTGAAAAAAAAAATTATGTAAAACGACAGATATTTATGAACGGAAGGAGTACATCTCAAACACTATAGTTGTCCCTTTTACATAGAAAGTATAATACTATCAAAGTATAACACCATAGTACGCCTTCAAAATCTCCTTAATTTTAATATTTTCTATGATAAGATAAATAAAATTATTTAATTTTAATTTTCAAATATAAAAAAGTTCCAATAAATTTTGAGATGTGATTCAGGCTGAGCCCATACCTTGAGGGCTCAGCCCATGACTTGGACATAATGCATAACCATTCTCCGTGACAAAACAATCATCTCTAATAAAATAATACACAACTTACAAATTACTCATACAAATCGGGTCAAGTCATAAATGTCGCTTGTACAACTAAATCAAACCAGTGTTTTATTTTGACATCAACCCGCACATCAAATAATTTCCAATATCAACACCAACAAGTTCTAATAAAGCCCAATTATGTCAAAAGGGTCTGCATTTAATTCAACTTATTTACAATGTAACCGTACAACAAGTTCTAAATATGCATCATCATATACCGTCCAATTAATCACACCCTCCCCCAAATAAATATGTATCATTTACCATCGAATCAAACCCCCCCCAAATTCTCTGACCCATCCTCGCACTTGCACATTCACCGACTTAAGCCACCAGCAGCAGCAGCTCTGTCTCATGTGCTCCGCGACACACCGACTTAAGAATGTGAGCGTCCCCATCTACACGTGTGTGGTCCCCTCTTCAAAATGGCTTCTGAATGTACATGAACATATCCTGCAACGGCGACATCTGATAATTATTCTGGAACGGAGGAGCAATGTCTATAGAGGCATCCACGTAATTAAACGGAAAATCTAGGACATTCTTCTCCCATTCGTTCAGCTTCGACTCACTCTGCACCTCTTTATCGCACGTGAACTCCGGCGACACCACCTGTTCGGAGCAGCTCGAGTCCGTATGCAACCTCGGGACCGAATCCGATGGGCCGAGGTACATATAATCGCTGTACACCGTCGGTTGATTCGACGGCGCGTGCGTCAGGATTTCCGGCTTCTTTTCGTCGATTTCCAGCAAGTCGTCGCTAACTTTCCGACTGCCGACGTGTTGCTTCTCTACGGAACCCTTTTTGTTGTATATCCGGCACAGGACCCAGTCATCCAGCTGCAAAATCACAACCGTTGGATCAATTAGTCACTAAACATGACCGTTGAATCATTATCTTTTATGTACAGTCTAGCTTTCCCTATCTCCAGAGATAAGAAGGAATAATTTACCCTTTTTATAATAAAGAATTATGCTTGCATGTTTTGTGGGCTACCCACAATAGAAAATCTAACAATAATATTTTAGAGATATTATGTCAAGGTTCGGAACTTGTCTGTATCGTGTCTAAATTTATTAGACATATATATTTTGATTAATTCATAATAAATATAAATTCTGGTCATCGTAAGTTTACGCCGTTATTTAATAAAATTTGTATCAATTTTGTGTTAAGTACGCAAATCAGTGTCTCGAATTGCCAGTGATACCCATGTCTAATTCACTCACTAGAATCACCACCGTCCAATCACAACTGATTGTTAGATGCTCTGATTGATCCATTGAGACCTGATAGATCTGATGCCCAAACGATAGGGCCCCATTTAAACACCGGTGGGTGTTGGATTCAGGGTCGTACTCATAAGGTCAGAACACTAATTTCATCCTACCACCTAAAATGTCCATTTTACCCATGCATCTGAGGTTGATAATGAATTCTGGTTTATGTACCCTTAAGCTGTTGTTCTTCTTCCGGGCAGATCGATCCACATCGGCGAGCCTGTACTCATGCATAATCCAATTAGTCTTCTCTCCCCTCGGAGCTTTTCCGGCATAAAACACCAAAGCCTTCTTAATTCCCACTGCTTTCGGATTTCCGATCGGCTTATCAGCTCCGGTTGCCTTCCAATATCCGCTCCCGGCGGCCCGGTTCGGTCTCGAACCATTTGGATACTTCCGGTCCCTCGGCGAAAAGAAGTACCACTCCTTCTCTCCATATAATGCCAAACCTACAAAATTTACCAAAAATCCAACCAATTAACATAAACACCCCCCCCAAAAAAAATAATCAAAATTTCAAAAATGTCTCAAAAATAAAATAACTACCTGGGAGATCCCAAGGGTCGTACTTATAGAGATCAATTTCGGCGATAATCGGAACAACAATCGGCTGAGACGCGCATTTCCGGCACAAATAGTGCATCACCAGCTCGTCATCAGTGGGGTGAAATCTGAAACCAGGAGGCAAAAGCAAATTCGCTGCCATTCTCTCTCTCTCTCTCCTGTGTCAAAATTTTCTTGCTCTTGAGCTTTGGTGGGTGACTATGGCGATTTTACTAATATGAAACAAGAGGCTATTAAACTTGAAAACCAACGGAGAGGAGGGAACTTATAGAGGGGTTTAGGGGGACACGTGGCGAGGAGAGACGGCTGGTTCTAGAATACACGTGGGCGATTACCTTGGTCCTTGTGAACTAGGGTAAAAAAGTGAGAGCAGCCGGACACGTGTCGGAAGATTAAGGTAGGTCGCGCGCGTGGCGATAGCCTACAATGGGTGTGATTCTGTCACTGCTTACGTATATTGTTTTGGACGGATTCGCACGTTGAAGAGAGAGAAAGTCGGCTAACAACATGTCCTTCATGGGTATGCCTGTCCAGTCAAGTGGATTTACTGTCTTTTTTGTTTCTTTCTTTTTTGGACCACATTAAACCCAACTTATAAATTTTGATTTTATTAATTACCAACTAATTATATGAATCGATTAAATTTGAAAGTTATGAAAAGATTGAATTCAAAATATTTAAATTTAAGTTAATTCTAATTTAAAAACACATAATTAAGCTATCCCTGCAAATAGAGTATTTTGGACTTTCCATTCTCCTATTCGAGGAAGATTACAGATCTTTTTTTTTGCTGAATCAAAAATTATAATTTAAATTTAAATTTAAATTATTATTTTTTAAGAAAGTAAGTTATAATTGTAAAAAATATAATTGATGATAAAATTCATATAAGTAATTATTTTAAAAAATTATAATTTTTAAAAGTTAAATTATATCTTTTAAAGGTAAAATTACAATTGATTGAAATTATTTATAATATTTTATAATTAATAATAAATTTCAACTTTACAAAGTGAATATTTAGCATTAAAATCAATAATTTTTTTTATGGCACCTATTTTTTTTGATACGATAATATTATGGAAAATATTATGTGAACTAAATCGATGTGAGTCGCAAGATCAACGTGTTTCATTATTATCCAATAATTTACATTTATTTGGTACACAAATTTGATACAAAATTTTGATCTACGTTATATTAGATCTTGGTTTGTAGTCAAAGAGTTTGAGAGTGGAAGAGATTGACACGTGGGTGATGTGGATGTACACGTGGGAGGTGGTGTCATGCAAAAGAATATTTAATATTTAATATAATAGTGATAGTTTACATGATATTATTATCTAATAACAATATTTTAAATGAATAAAATAAACTCCACCGAAACAATTATAAACTTATTTGACCCAAAAAAAAATAATAATTATAAATTTACATGAAAGAAGAGTGAATAATTATTTATTTATTTATTTTATATGGATGAATAATACTGACATGTCCAAATTTTTTTAATATATATATCAGTCCTATTTATAATTATGTACAATATAGTTTAACCTGCTTATTTATGGGGCCAAATAATGTTATCTATTTATCATCCAAATATATTAAAACTAAACCCAAACTCATTAATATGGTATTAATTTTTTATTAGTTCATAGACTGTGCCTAAAATTACAAAAATTNCCTGCTTATTTATGGGGCCAAATAATGTTATCTATTTATCATCCAAATATATTAAAATTAAACCCAAACTCATTAATATGGTATTAATTTTTTATTAGTTCATAGACTGTGCCTAAAATTACAAAAATTGTTAAAATTTGGTGTCCTAGAATTATTAAAATTGAGTCTTTAAAAAAAATATTAGAAATTTTAAATATTATTATTTATTTGAGAAGCTTAGGCGACAGCTTTAATGGCCTATGACTAGGACCGGCCCGGATCAGTCATCTCACTCACTTAATATAAAAACTCATCCATTTTTAATTTTTACACCGTCTATTAGAATCAAATATATTTTTAGAATTAATCTATAGATGATGAAGATGAAAGTGAGATTTGTTATAATTGTGGGAAGAGTGGCCTTTTGACGTGTCAAAGGTGGATAAGGACAAGGACCGAGTAGGAAGTTGCTAGGCCAGTCGTTACTTGGAAGTTACTGGGCCATGAACCCATAGATCACGCCATTCCCCACGCCTTTTTTGTTTTTTGTTTTTTTAAACCCAACTTTTTTTAATTACAGTTTGCCCAATTTTAATACCTGAAATTTCATTTGACCCCCAAAACTTATAATTGTTTTGGAAAAAAAAAAACATACTATGAAAGTTATGACTCAAGGCTACGAGATTATAATCCAATATAGACAAAGTTTAAATCCATCCTAACTTGTTTGTATGATAACTTAATTTAATTGAATCATAATTTCTAATGCGCTATTAAAAAATAATTTTTTGATTAAAAAAAAAAATTTGCACCAAATAACAGATTTACTTTTCAAAGTTGAAGTTTAACCATATTAACATAAATATTGCAATGAATAACTCAGAAACAAACCCCATCTCTCGTATGACACATAAAAAACCTCTTGGGGCAGCTGTGGAAATTTATCATTTTTGGTATCCTACTAGTTGATTTGTATGACATTATCATTAGGACAGACAATNGGCAGCTGTGGAAATTTATCATTTTTGGTATCCTACTAGTTGATTTGTATGACATTATCATTAGGACAGACAATGGCCAACGTGGACAAAACAGTCAGAGGTGTGACCTGTAGTAGTCGTAATGGATGACCTAATTAAGATTCGAACTACATGGCAAATCCTCATTGGTTGGCTTCGATCTTTCAATAATATTCAAATCTTTTGTCCTAACTCATTACTACATTATCAACAATAAAATATTATATATGCATAATTAATTTTTGTCACTTAAAAATTGTCAATTTAAAAAAAAAAAAATAACTAATCAATTCAGCAAACAGGTGCCACATAAAATTTACCGTTCGACGTAAACATGAGAAAATATCATCAATTGTTATCTTATAAACACGGAATATTTTCTCCATCCAAACATTAATAGGTCCATATGTAAAGGGTGGTTTCTGAATTTGTTGGGCCCACCTTGCGGCTTCATTAGAAAAACATTTGGGTAGGTGTAAAATATTGACAATTGTGACAGAGATGGTCCAAAAATAAAGTCAAATGACTGGACGGTTAAGACTCAACATCATTTGTCCACAGATAGACTGTTATTATTGATGTAAATTAAGGGGTTGTTTGATAATATTATTTAATATTTAATGAATTAAATTTATTTGATAACTTAAAATTTATACAAATTAATATTTTAAATACTTTTTAAAAATGGACTAAAATCTTAAATAGTAATGTGGTGTTTAATAAAATTGAAAGTTGAAGTGTGAAAACTGAAAAATGAATGTTGAATTCGTATATTGTTTGGTATCCATTGAAATTTAATTATTAAATTGAACCAAATTGTTTGATAACTACACAAAAATAACATCTGAAAATAAATTAATTTTTAATTTTATCTTTTCACTCTATACTTTAAAAATATTTATAAAATATGTTTTTATCTAATAGAATAATAACTAATAAATATTAAAAAAAAGAAGAAAGTGTGTGTGATTGTGTGTGCACAGAGTGTGCAGTGCATGTTTGTAAGTGTAACTGTGTGTTTTGTGCATCTGTCCATGTGCAGTGGGTGATTGTGTAATTATGTATGTATATGCGTGGTGCAGAAGACAAAGGAAGAAGACAAGGGAATAAGACTTTCTTATTTCGCTTGCCGAAGAAGACGATCAAGTCAACAAGAAGGATAAATATGTTAGAGGTTTTGGAGAAAAAATTAATTAGAAATTTAATAGGATTGTAAAATATTTTAAAATATAATTATTATATTATAAATATTATTAAAAATAATTTTGCTGAACGCATAAAACTTTCAGAATTAAATAAGTGATATTCTGCTTAATATTGTAACCTAATTTTAAGGAGAACTTAATATATTAAAATATTAAAATTTTAGTTATTAAACGAGCTTAATTAATACTCCAATACGTTCATTTTAAGTGTTGAATTTGAGTTAACAAACACACTCAAATTNTAAAATATTAAAATTTTAGTTATTAAACGAGCTTAATTAATACTCCAATACGTTCATTTTAAGTGTTAAATTTGAGTTAACAAACACACTCAAATTATCTATTTATCACTCAATACCAAAAACGGTAGTCAGTTAAGAATTTTATAAATTTCTCATAATGGACAAATATATACTAAATATATTTTACATTTTTTAACTTTTCAATATCTATCTTTCACTACCATCACCACTATTGTGCCGTCGTCGTCGCCGCCGCCACCATCACCATCACGATCGCCACCACCACTACCACAATTGTGCTGCCATGACCACCATTATGCTACCACCATATATTTACCATTGTGTTATTGCCACCACCACTACCATTATTATTATTGTGCTGCCACCACCATATTGCCATAAATTGTGTCACCATCACCACCATTATGCTACAACCACCACCACCATCATTGTGTCATTGTTGTCACCGCCGCCACTATCGTGGCACAATGGTGGTGGTAGGAAAAAGTTAGTTATGGTGAGATGATTAAAGAAAAATGAAAAATTATAATAATAATATTTTTTAGACTTCAGCTTGTTATAAGTGTGAAACAGTTGAATTCAATTAAATACTTAAATTTTAATGGATACTAAACAATCTACGAATTAAAAAATTCAGCATGCAACACTTATAATTCAATATTCCATTTTTCAGTATTGAACTTTCAATTTTATCAGACACTATCTAAAAGATTGACTTAACTACGGTACCATTAATTTTTTTTTTTTTTTGTATTGTATCTCTAAAATTTATTACTTCAGTAAGTGTTTTTATTATTTTTGTGAGTCATTTTATAACCAAAAAATTTATCATTTTTGTGGGTATTTTTATTACTATTACGGTAATTATTTTTATCATTTTTCTTTGACACAAAAAAATTATCTCATTTGTGGGTGTTTTTATCAATATTGTGGTAACTATTTTTATCATTTTTTTCGGTACCACACTAGCAATAAAAATACTCACAACATCCTTAAAAATATTCATAAATTTAATAATTGGAGGTATGGTACTGAAATTTATTTTTTCGGTACCAAACAGACTAAGTCCTAAATTAAATAGGCATAACAGAGGTTAGCAAGGGTTGGACTTTAAAATTGCACGTTTGAATATCGTCTTTTTTTTTTGTT